GAACGGAGGCACCGGCCTGGACGTCTGCAGGAGCCTTGGCTGGAGCCAGGTCGCCTGAAGCCAAAGCGTCTTTGAGCTTTCTCCCAAGCTAGTCCCAACGCAGGGAAAATAACTTCCTGCCCAGACCTCGGCCGACTCCTCAAAACTCGCCGCGGATGCCGTGCCCGCAGGGACCTTGGCAACAGCTGGGCAGCAAAAGCTGCTCTTTTCTTGTGCGTTTGAGCCGCGCTTTGCAAAACGAGCCCTCGCCTGCGGGCCCTGCCGGGGGGCAGGGGCGGCAGCAGCCGCTGCGCCTCCGACACACGTTCCTTCCTTCGCCTGGAAGAGTTTATGTAGGAGAGCTCGGGCCGGGAGGGGAGGAGAAGGGAGAAAGATCCTGACCGAGTGGGATGTGCAAACTCGGATCTTCAGCTTGGTTTGACCTCAGTCGAGCCTGTGACCTAGCAAAGGTTTCTTGCATTCTGGTGCTTAGCCTGACTATAATTATCTCTCTGAACAGACTACCACAGCTAATTTATTTTGAACAAAGCTAGAAATAAAAGGATAATCAGGTTATCCCAAATGACAGCAGCAACATCTGTATTTTCTGGTACGCTGCGCACATTTGATGTACAGAATATTGTAATGAGGCTGAAAAACTTGTCAATGATATTTCTTTTGTCCCCTTCTCAAAGGAGCAATGGTTGGCTCTCCAGAAGAATATTAATTGCTGCAAAATGTGTGAAGCAGCACATTCCTTCAATGATACTTGTTGTTTGCTTCTGACTTTCTGCAGAAAAGCTTCTCCCTGCACCACCGAGCACGCACGTCCCCCGTCCCCTCCTCAGTAGGTGTGAAACAGCTGGAGAAGCGCTCAGAAACCTTTGAATTCCCCACGACAAGTTGGGTTCCCAGCGAAAGACCTGGGCTGGGCTGCCCAGAGTCCGCACAGGCAGGGACTGGGCGCTCACCCGCGTTCCCGCGCCCTGCTCGGCTGGCTCCTCCGCGCCAGGCTCCGGGCAGAGCGCTGCGGGTGCCGGCG